CAAAGTTACAGCCCCTCAGAGTTTAAAGGGCCAGAGGCCAATCAAACGCTCTATGCGCGCTGCAGAAAAGGGCCGTTGGCTAATAAATAAATAGTTTGTATAAATGTTATAAATTACTTCCCCCACTTTTGCAATAAATCTCAGGTGATGTGGGTTAATGTTGTTTTCCCCAAATGGGTGACTGAATGAGGGAAACATTTAAAAAATTCTTGGGAGAAATGAAACAGAAGGAAACGTATAGAAAAGTTAATTATGGAATATAGTTGCAAGTGAAATAAAACCTCCTCCCTGCAGCCTGAGTGCTGCACAGATGAAGCAGCACTTCAGGATTCACCAGTCCTCCCAGCGTTTGGACTCCGGCAATTAGCAGGTAGAAGTGGCTGCAACCAGTCGTCTGCTGCTTTCACACAACAGCACACACACACACGCCTCTTTTTCTCCGGCTTAAAGTAGAGAGAGTGTCACAATACAGAAAAGTCAGTGTGATGTAGTCGAGCTAAAGGTGTGAGGACTTAGAGTGTGAAACAATCTCCATCCTGGAGTTTAATTGGATCTGAATGATCCTTCAGTTCATTACAGCCTAAAATCAGAGATGTGAGTCGAGCTACGTGGACACGATCTGTAAGAGCCTCGCTCCTCTGAGCAGGAACCAAACAGCAGCATTATTGTGTGCTGATTGTGCCACAGCTTCGATGATACTGCATTTGTTGTTGTGTAGAAGAATTCGTTAACTGGCTATACTTGCTATCAAGACAGGAGAACATTAACTGGTATGGTTGGTGATGTAAGCCCCGCCCTCTGTTCAAAGATGGTCGCTGACAGTGGATGTAGATGGCTTCTTTCACCCCGCTTTGAAACCATCTGTGCAAAATGTGAGCGTTGGCATTCACAGACCTCTCTTACTAGTCCATGTCAGTTAGCTTGGAGTCACCACTGTGATTATCATGAAGTTCACCCGGACGTATCAAATGCACGAACGCTCCTAATTTCGCCAGTGTTGTGCAGATGAAAGACAGCAGCTCCAAAGACGTGTCTTGTGTACAGCACTACAGAACAAAAACATCCCCGAGGTTTCTCCCAAAATGCACATTTTTCCTTACAGACCGATGTATTTGACAAACACAGCAGAAACAACGAGCAGTCAAAGGTTTAAGAAAAGACTGAAATGTAAACAACTTCAAGTGTTTGTTTATTTCTGAGCCTTGTTTCAGATAAAACGCTGATCCCTCTCTGTCCTCCTCACTGTATTTGTAATCCAGAGATTTCAGTTCAGCACTCGGGGGACCTGCAGCCGTGGAAATGCCCGCGGCGTCTGATTAAATAAAAACAAAGTGAGAGGAGCTGCTCTGGGTTCTGATTTAGATTTGATTTATATGCACAAAAAGAGGCCATTCTTAGAAAACAGCTTTGAGGGTCCACTTGACTCTAAGTGTTCATCAGGGGGAAAAACAACAACAGCAGCTATTATTATTATTGTCTGAGTGCTAGCACACACGCTGCCTCGGTGGCTCTGCTTGCATGCGTGCTCTCATTAAGTCTACCATGTTTGCTCACTCGCTCTTTCACAAGGAACAAACATGCTTCATGAGTTATTGCATTATTAATGCACCAACACTAATGAACAGCACATGATACAAACCCTAGCTGCTATCCTGTAGGACATGTTGCTAATGAATGCTCGCTGTCCTTTAGTTTGTCGCTGTAATAAAGCAATAAGTGGATGATGATGAAGGTCTACGCAATATTATTGTTGCCAGTGTGTTGAGGTTACTTGTGGTTAATGGCCTTGAAATGGTCCTGGACTGCTGGGTGTTCACCGACTTTCTAACGCGCTCATCTAAACCGTGACAGCTGGACGAACGAGGAAGTGTTGGAACGTTCACTCGGGCTATAAATCCTCTGCAGACTAAAGTGCAACTCCCAAGGTAATCCCACCCTTGGGAAGGCATAACAGATGAAGAGTCAACTGTGCTGATCTGAAGTGGCACAGAGTGTGTGTGTGTCTCCCTCTTGGTACCACTGTTAGAGTTAAACAAACACCATGGGGAAATCCATCAGTCCGCAGGCAGTAATCAGGAATCTGATTTCGATTTGGAACCTAGTGTCGTAATGATCTGTGGGTGCGTTTTAGCTTTCGGGCAGACCATCATAGGTGCCAGCTGCACATTTGGGCCAAAATCTATATTTCCTAATGTCAGTTTTCTTCTTTGCAGCGAAAGGTTCACTTCCTGTAAATCAGTACTTGCAGTTTGGCTCCAAACAAAGTTCGTCCTTCATGATGTTGTGATGTGTCGACATTAAAACAATAAAACGAAGTAGAATATTTATTCTATTTTGGCCCTGCTGGTCCTTCTCACTGCTGCTGCCTGTGGCTCCAGTTATTACCAGTGACCATGTGATGTCAGTGAATCGTGCAAATAGCAGGAAGTCATGGCAAAGCAGCGATAATC